CTAATATGATGTTCTGTAGAGGGTAATGGTTCTTACACAATGTTCTCTAGAGGATAATGGTTCTAATATGATGTTCTGTAGAGGGTAATGGTTCTTACACGATGTTCTCTAGAGGATAATGGTTCTAATATGATGTTCTGTGGAGGATAATGGTTCTTACACGATGTTCTCTAGAGGATAATGGTTCTAATATGATGTTCTGTAGAGGGTAATGGGTCTTACACGATGTTCTGTGGAGGATAAAGGTTCTAACAAGATGTTCTGTGGAGGATAATGGTTCTATCACGATGTTCTGTGGAGGATAACGGTTCTAACACGATGTTCTGTGGAGGATAAAGGTTCTAACACGATGTTCTGTGGAGGATAACGGTTCTATCACAATGTTCTGTGGAGGATAATGGTTCTAACACGATGTTCTGTGGAGGATAAAGGTTCTAACACGATGTTCTGTAGAGGATAATGGTTCTATCACAATGTTCTGTGGAGGATAAAGGTTCTAACACAATGTTCTGTAGAGGATAATGGTTCTATCACAATGTTCTGTGGAGGATAAAAGTTCTAACACAATGTTCTGTGGAGGATAAAGGTTCTAACACGATGTTCTGTGGAGGATAATGGTTCTATCACGATGTTCTGTAGAGGATAATGGTTCTAACACGATGTTCTGTGGAGGATAATGGTTCTAACACGATGTTCTGTGGAGGATAATGGTTCTATCACGATGTTCTGTGGAGGATAAAGGTTCTAACACGATGTTCTGTGGAGGATAATGGTTCTAACACGATGTTCTGTGGAGGATAAAGGTTCTATCACGATGTTCTGTGGAGGATAATGGTTCTATCACGATGTTCTGTGGAGGATAAAGGTTCTATCACGATGTTCTGTGCAGGATAATGGTTCTATCACAATGTTCTGTGCAGGATAATGGTTCTATCACGATGTTCTGTGGAGGATAAAGGTTCTATCACGATGTTCTGTGGAGGACAAAGGTTCTAACACGATGTTCTGTGGAGGATAAAGGTTCTATCACGATGTTCTGTGGAGGATAATGGTTCCTTCTGTGGAGGATAAAGGTTCTATCACGATGTTCTGTGCAGGATAATGATTCTATCACGATGTTCTGTGCAGGATAATGGTTCTATCACGATGTTCTGTGGAGGATAAAGGTTCTATCACGATGTTCTGTGCAGGATAATGGTTCTATCACGATGTTCTGTGGAGGATAATGGTTCTATCACGATGTTCTGTGGAGGATAAAGGTTCTATCACGATGTTCTGTGCAGGATAATGGTTCTATCACAATGTTCTGTGCAGGATAATGGTTCTATCACGATGTTCTGTGGAGGATAAAGGTTCTATCACGATGTTCTGTGGAGGACAAAGGTTCTAACACGATGTTCTGTGGAGGATAAAGGTTCTATCACGATGTTCTGTGGAGGATAATGGTTCCTTCTGTGGAGGATAAAGGTTCTATCACGATGTTCTGTGCAGGATAATGATTCTATCACGATGTTCTGTGCAGGATAATGGTTCTATCACGATGTTCTGTGGAGGATAAAGGTTCTATCACGATGTTCTGTGCAGGATAATGGTTCTATCACGATGTTCTGTGGAGGATAAAGGTTCTATCACGATGTTCTGTGGAGTATAAAGGTTCTATCACGATGTTCTGTGGAGGATAATGGTTCTATCACGATGTTCTGTGGAGGATAAAGGTTCTAACACGATGTTCTGTGGAGGATAATGACTGAGTCTCAAAGAAGTGATTCTGTTCAACCTTAAGCCCATGTGATCAGTGCGTGTGTGTGTGGTGTGTGTGTGTGTGTGTGTTGTGTGTGGTTTTCTCGTGTCAAACCGGGTTTCTATTCCTGATGAAACAGGAAGTAGAGCTGAAGTGTCCTATGAGCCGAACTGTCACCATAGAGGAAGAACATGGTATGAACGTCAGCACACACACACACAGACACACACAGACACACACAGACACACCATCAGACACACACAGACACACACAACACACACACACACACACACACACACACACACACACACACACACACACACACACACACACACACACACACACACACACACACACACACACACACACACACACACAGAGATCCCCTTATTTGGTCGTGAGACAGGTTACTCAAAGATTTGAGTGTCGTGTTTCATGTGACAGCTGATTGGTCAATTTGAGTCGACGTCAGAGAGTAACAGAGAGCTGATGATCTGGTCAGCTGGTTATGAGTGGAGCCTGTAACTTCTTCTACACTTTTAAAACATGTAGGAAAGCATTATTAAAATAACTGTCAGGTCACATTTAGAAACAGCATCATCATACATATGTTATTACTGCTGAATCTTGAAAACCTTTAAAAAGCTGCTCAGAGTCTTTAAAGATTTAAACTCTGTAACGATGCTGATAATTAACAGAATTTTTTTCACATTGTTGTGACTTCCTTAAAATCTAAAATTACAGAGAAGTGACAGTTTCACTGTCATCACACAAACACCTTAATTTTCTCTGAGAAATGAGAACTTCATAATCCAGCACCAAGTTTCCACAGTTATTTAAAATAGCACTCATTTATCTTAACAAATTCATTCTTTATCTTTAATAACATGTGGGGTTCCTCAGGGTAATGTCTTTGGACCACTTTTCTTTCCTTAAACCTCAGTGAGATTTATAAAAATCTGAATAAAACACTCTTTTTCTCTATCTTCTCAAGCATCAGATCAATGTGATCTATGGTCACACATAGTTTCACACCTAGCCTAGCTTAGCATAACGCATCAATGCAAGGGAACACTGGAAGCCTGGGTTAGAACAAAAAAACTTTTTTTTAAAAGAATAGCTCCTGCTACACATGTTCAGTTGAGGCTCCATGGGATGTAAAAGTTTGTAAGCTCAAAGATTTAATTTCAGACTAACTCAGTATATCGGAGAACATTCTCACGTTAAAAAGGTTGTAGCTTCTAGTTGGAAAAGGTTCTAAAGGACAAAGCTCTGGTGGAACGTTCTGTTATTACTGAAGAGAAATCTGTAGTAATAAGGTGCTAACCAAGTTTTCCGTATTAAATAAAGGTTCTATCAGACAGTTCTGTAGTGGAAAAGGTTCTGAAACAACTTTTTAGTGATTAAAGGATAACATAAGGTCCTGCATAAAGGTTCTAACATGACGTTCTGTTGTAGATAAAGGTTCTAACATGATGTTCTGTTGTAGATAAAGGTTCTTTCAGACTGTGAGATATATAAAGGTTCTAACATGACGTTCTGTTGTAGATAAAGGTTCTTTCAGACTGTGAGATATATAAAGGTTCTAACATGACGTTCTGTTGGAGATAAAGGTTCTAACATGACGTTCTGTTGTAGATAAAGGTTCTTTCAGACTGTGAGATATATAAAGGTTCTAACATGACGTTCTGTTGGAGATAAAGGTTCTAACATGACGTTCTGTTGTAGATAAAGGTTCTTTCAGACTGTGAGATATATAAAGGTTCTAACATGACGTTCTGTTGTAGATAAAGGTTCTCTGAGGACGTTCTCTCCTGTGTTTGGTACAGAAGTGAAACTGGAGCTCTCTGTGTGCGTCTCAGCTCACTCTGAAACTCGACTCCTGCAGACAGTCGAGGAGAATCGTTCTGTTTACAGTCAAACCAAAACATCAACAGAACCGTTAAGAATGTGATAAATGCTGCACAGAGTGCTCATGGGTTCTCTGATGTTTATCTGTAGAAATAAGAAGAATCTTTTTTGATTATTTGATTCTAAAATTAAATTGTTTATCTATTGTCTTTAGTCTCATGGTTCTCACCAGAACTCGGTCACACTCACTGATGTTCTGTAAACGTCTAATGTTCCTGTACAGGGGTAAGAGTGACAGGTGTCAGTCACCTGTAGGCCCCGCCCACTCCTCCTCACCTCTTTCTCACAGATGAACAGCTGATCTGCCCTCAGAACCACAAACCGGTTCTTCCAGATCTCCCTGAAGATCCCTTTCCCGCAGAACTTTCTGATCCAGCCGACCTTCTCGGGTTGAGCGAGCGGCGGCGCCGAGTCCAGCGGGCCCTGAGAGGGGAACAGGTGAAAACCTTAGTGAGCCTCTGACGGACGACCAGTCGGTCATCATCACAACGTTTAAAGTCAATCAAATCAAGATTTTGGATGAAAGACAGAAACGGTTCTTTAGTAACATGTGGTCATGTTTATATTTGAACCCAGGGACTGTGGCCGGCTGAGAAACGTTTTGACTACTTCAGTTTGTTTTGGGTCGGAGAGAAGAAAAGGAGCTCCGCCCTCACACTCAGACGATCTATTGTCATTCAAACACACACAGAGAAACACACACACCCCCCCCACACACACACACACACACAGACACACAGACACACACACAGACACACACGCACACACACAGACACACACACACACACACACACACACACACACACACACACACACAGACACAGAGACACACACACACACACACACACACAGACACACAGACACACACACACACACACACACACACACACACAGACACAGAGACACACACACACACACAGAGACACACACACGCACACACAGACACAGAGACACACACAGACACACACACAGACACACACACACAGACATATGAGTGTTTGTTGTTTTGTATAAAAACAAAACAAACAGATAATAAATTAATCCTATCATTGATATTAAACATTATTTTAACGATGAAAGCGTTGAACGGATCGTTTGAGACGACATTCAGACAGAGGTCTTGTACCCGAGTTAGCCAAAAGGCTCATCTTCACCGGACGACCTTTGGCTTCATAGAATGAAATGTAAGCCGTGAACATACGTTCACATTTATACAGACGAGAACAGATGACCTCCATGATCGGACGCCATGCAGTGACCACGGGGAGTGACGCTGTCTGTTTATGTTGTTTATGTTTGGAGCTGTACGGTGGTACAGTGGTTAGCTCTCTCTGTGAGGAGGTTCCTGGTTTGAATCCCCGTCCTTCAGGAGCCTCTCTGTGAGGAGGTTCTGGTTTGAATCCCCGTCCTTCAGGAGTCTCTCTGTGAGGAGGTTCCTGGTTTGAATCCCCGTCCTTCAGGAGTCTCTCTGTGAGGAGGTTCCTGGTTTGAATCCCCGTCCTTCAGGAGTCTCTCTGTGAGGAGGTTCCTGGTTTGAATCCCCGTCCTTCAGGAGTCTCTCTGTGTGGACTCTGCATGTTCTCCTCGTTCATGTGTGGGTTCTCTCCTGGTTCTCCGTCTTCCTCCCACAGTCCAAAGACATGCTCGTTAGGTTAACTGCTGACTCTAAATTGTCTGTAGGTGAGAATGTGAGTGTGTCTGGTTGTCTGTCTCTATATTTCAGCTCTGTGATTGGCTGGTGAACAGTCCAGGGTGTAACCCCGCCTCTCACCCAATGACAGCTGGGAGTTTACCTGTACAATCTTTAAGAACAGGTGACCGACCTTCATATCGTTTGGATTGAAATGTTATCAAAAAGTTTAACACTCAGGTGATGAACACATGAACCAGGTGAGCTACTCGGAGGTGACGTCACTCTAACTCGGGTCTACGTTCTTATGTAAGTCGGTTAAACTGTCCGATAAGTGAAACCGGAGCAGCTCAACAGATTTCCGGTTCAACCCGCGGATCGTTTCCTCTCAGGAGGAATCTTCAGTCTCTCTCACTTTCTGTGTTTCTGATCTTTTTAAACCGCTTTTATTTAACTGAGCAAAGAAACATCTAAGCGCTTTTATTCTGAAGTCCGGAAGAGCAGCTATTCAGCAGCTGTAGGCTGATTTCCCTTTCAAAATAAAAGATTTGATCTAATCCTTGAGGCTTTTGTTCCTCGAGCTCCGGTTGAACCCGGGATAAAACGGACCGTGACGAGCTCCGGTAACACTCACCCGTTTCCCGGAGGAGTTCTTCTTCATGTTGGCGGCTGTCAGGCTTCCGGTACCGGGCTGATGACGGGACTTCTCCCACTTTGACGGTAACTCCGTTATTCCCCTCAGAGAGCGGCGGGAGCGCGGAGAAAAGAGGCTGAAACACGCTCAAAGTCCGGCACGGAGGACCGGAGCCTCCCCGGCTCCTCACTGCTGATCTCTGGTCAAACTCTGCCCCTGACCCCGCTGCTCCGACCTGCTGCTGCCGGACTCCACTGCGCTGTGACCGGCCAGGAGCCGCTCCGTCAGTCGGTGTCCGGTTACTCCTCCTCCTCCCTCCTCCCCCTCCCCGGACTCCCTGCTGGCTCCGCGGCTCCTCGGCAGCCACACAGCGCCCCCCACAGGCCGAAACAGACGGGACACAATGAGACATCCGGCCTGATGATAAAATGACAGTTAGTGATTTATTTTGAATATCTGGTATTCTCTCAGCAGTTTTGATTGTTTGTGTAAAAATAAGTTTTAATTAGTTTAGTATTTGAATCAAGTTCAGCTGTAGTCAAATTAAAGTTTCTCTTTTTCAGAATAAAAGTACTTTTTTCGTGATACTTTATGTAGGACTTTTGTGTGTGTGTGTGTGTGTGTGTGTGTGTGTGTGTGTGTGTGTGTGTGTGTGTGTGTGTGTGTGTGTGTGTGTGTGTGTGTGATCCTCGGCTCACATCTGGATCAGTGTAATCTGGTTGAGTGTGATGCAGCAGATGTTTGCAGGCTGCTGATCTGGAGTCAGTTTCACTCCCAGCTCAGATCATCAAAGTGGGTCAGACTGAGAGAGCAGGCTGATCGGCAGATTATCCACCGACACGCTCCGTTAAAGAACAACCACAACAACAACAACAAGCTTCATGTCTGATCCTCTGCCAGTCTGATCCACCTTTATGTCAGACACAAGAACCAATCAGAAACAATGGGCTGTTAAATGTCTCTTTATATGATAAAGACTTTAAATCTGTTGATGAGAAGAGGACTCATCTTTAAAGATCCAGTGAGTGAGCTGTGTAGAGAGTGAGATGATAAAGGTATCTTACTCTCTGATCATTAAGGAAACATGCTATGTTGAAGTGCTGGCTTCTCTGACAACAATGCAGCAGCCAGTATGTCCTCCTTCTAACTTTAGATTCTGCTCCTGAATGCTCTGGATTTGTTTGGACCAGAGAAGGTAGAAGCTTTTAAGGTGACCCCACACAGCAGTTTTGGACGCCCCTCGGTTTGCCAGATATGAGAGCAGTTATCAGGTCAAACCAACAGGTGTTGCAGCGATGGAAGCGGGCAAGACTCAGGCTCATCAATGCCTCTTTTTCCTGAGGACACTGAAGAGACACCACCTGTCTTCAGCTGTACTGATGAACTTCTACCGCTGTGTGATCGAGAGCATCCTGACCAGCAGTGTCTCAGTCTGGTACAGAAACTGCTCTGTCGCAGACCGTAAGGCGCTACAGCGGGTGATAAAAACCGCCCAGCGCATCACAAGGTGTCCACTTCCTGCCATTGAGGATGTCCAAAGAACACGCTGTCTGCGGCGAGCTCACGGCATCCTTAAAGACTCCTCCCACCCTGCCCACAGACTGTTTACCCTCCTGCCCTCCGGCAGGCGCTTCAGAAGCCTCCGGACCAGAACCAGCAGACTGAGGAACAGCTTTTTCCCCAGAGCTGTTTCTCTACTGAACTCTACCCCCCGAACTCTGAACTCTGTCTCTCTCTCTCTCTCCCTCTCTCTCTCTCCGCCCCCTGCTGACCCCCCCCCTTTCCCCTGCATATCACCTCACACCCATCATCCCCCCACCACTCCTCCTGGTCACACACACACATCTCTCATCCATCTGTATTATTGTGTTCATATTATGTCCATATTCTTTATATTATCTGTAAACTAGTATAGCATGCTCACTGCACCTTAATCTGTATATTATAATCCTAAGAATACACTAGCATTACTTATTTATAGTATTTATTTATATTTATAGCATCCCATTAATCCAGCCATCCAGATATACCTAATAATTCACTTTTTTTGTCTACATCTGTAAATTTTGTAACTACTGTACATAGCACAGACTCTTGCACTTTCTGCTTATTTGCACTTCTGGTGAGATGCCAAACCTCATTTCGTTACTCTATACTTGTATATGTGTAATGACAATAAAGTTGAATCTCATCTCATCTCAAGAGAAGTGGTTCAGATAGAAGTGATTGTACCCGACCTAAAAAGCCTCTGCATGTTTCTAATAAGCTCCACGAGCAGAAACGTGCTCAAACTAGGATCAATATTGGAGATGCTTTTGAAAAATGGAGAGAGGTTAGAACACAGAAAGGTTTACAGACCCATGCAGAGCTGGATAAACACTGAAGCTTCAGAGTCCACCACATGGTGACCTGAGTGAGCATGGACTCTAGAGGAGGGGGAGAGACAGCTCTCTATAATGTTTGGAATTTAGACTGCAGTACACATTTTAAACAGAGTTACATATTGCTCCTTTCACATCAAACTAATTGTATTCAACCTGCATTTTTTTTAATGTCCAGTAGGGGGCGACTCCACTGTTGGTCAATGATAAAGTGTTCCTACTTGTCAGCTGATTTATTCCCTCAGAAGTTAATGATCTCAATGTCTACTTTGAAGTCTTAGCATGAAGTTCATTTAGTCAATGATGGTCCAAGTCCGAAAGACCAGAAAGAGGGGGAGGAGTTAGGAGTTTGACAAGCTGTTGGCACGGCAACCTGTTGACCTAAAATAAGCTCTGAGGAGATGGCTGGTCCATTTTTCTCTGAGGAAGTGACCATATGTGGGCAAGGGGGCAAGAATATATTCCAAGATTTTTTTAATGCAGAATGTGGAAGTTGTGTATTGCATGACTGACAGGAAGTGGCGAGGGGGTGTGAGGGGATTGACTTCTGCAGAACTGTGATGACCTCAGAGCCAGACAGTGACATCATCATCATCACATGATGAAGCAGCTTGAAGCAGAAGACGTTTTAGATTCATGTTTTTTTCACGTCTTGTTTCATTTTTTCCTGAATCATTGATGTCATGTGAAGCTGAAGTTCATATGAAACCTCACTCTCATGCTCTCATAATTAAAGGTCAGTATTCTAAGTGTAAAAAACAAAATCTGTGTCCTCTGTGATTGGAATGTTCTCAGTTTGTTTATGAAGTATGAACTCACTGAGAATACATTTGAGTTCTCTGCTCTTTGGTGTCATTCAACGTTTTGTGTAAAGTTTAAAAAGAAAATGTGAGAAATTTTCCTGAGGTTTTGTGTTTCTGTAGAAGGAGAGACACTTTCTATTTCTCACTCTGCTGCCCCCTGCTGGTCCATCAGCTTTCTGCACCTCAGCACAAACAGGAACCTTTACACGAGGATCTTTTTAAACTACATATTCAACTTTTTTTCAGACAATTTAAGACAGCCAATGAGCTGCGACCGTCTTTATTTATCACACTCCAGAGAAAGTATGCTGATGTTCGCGTGTCATATAAAACCATTACAAAAAAAACACTCAGTGTAGAAAGTGTGTGTAAAACCAGTTCAAAAATAGAGCTTCTGCAGTGGTACACCAATCAAAGTGCAGGGACCAGAGGAGAGTTTCTTCATGCTTTATTTCTCAACAACTTGATTCCACTTGTGACAAGCATAGTAGTCAGATGATTTAACTCTTAAAGAAAAAGGAAAACAATTATCAGGGCCACACCAGTAAATCAAATTACATAGTAACTAAACAATCTCATAAATGCACAAAATCATATTTACACATCAAGTTCTCACTCAAATAATGCATATATCAGAGGCACAATAGAGTTGTCAGCCTGTCATGCAGTTCAGCAGTGTGAAGCAAACAAAAGGAGTGAGCATGGCCTGCTGCAGGCCCCTTAATTGCTCAGGTGTGGTCTGATTGGTTAAGACTAGGCTTAAAGGGGAAGTGGGATCTGCAACAGCCGCCCCTCAAATGTAGGAACACATTTGAAAATTACCGTAATCAAAATTAACCATTACTGGCCTACAAGGGATTAGGGTCGTCCATTGAAGGGAGGGGTATTAATCTTGCTACAGGTCTGATGTACAGCTTCCCTTTGATGTCAACTTCCACTGTGCGGACACGCCCATCCTCACTAGGAAAGAGACGTGCCATCCTTCCAATGGGCCAGAAACTTTTAGGCAACTGTGGATCTATAACCATGACATCCTCTGACACCGTTAAGTTGGTAGAATCCTTTTGCCACTTCTGATGGGTTTGAAGGCTGGGTAAGTACTCCTTTATAAAGCATGTCCAGAAGTGGTCCGCAAGGATCTGGCTGTGTCTCCATTTCCTTCGCCCAATAGCTGAATCAGCATACACTGCTTGAGGAAGGGATGCATCCCGCCGCCCCATGAGAAGCATTTTTTGGGGTCACAGGGTCAGGATCAGCCAGGTCTGATGATACATATCCAAGGGGTTATGAGTTAAGAATGCCTTCAATTTCTATCAACACAGTGTTGAGCACCTCCTCTATTACCGTTTGTGCCCCCAGAATCACTCTTAATTGATCTCACCTCCCTCTCCCACATTCCTCCAAAGTGGGGGGCATTAGGGGGGTTAAACCTGAACTGAATCTTCCTTTTGCCCAGCTGCTCTTGTAGTGCTGGATTCAACGCAGCAAATGCCTCACTCAGTTCCCTTGATCCACCTATAAAGTTTGTCCCACAATCCGATAGGAGTTCAAATGGTTGACCTTGTCTTGCAGTAAAGCGTCTGAGGGCCATTAGGAAGCTGTCAGTGTTCAGACTGGTCAAGATCTCTATGTGAACACAGTGGGTTGTGAGGCATTTGAACAGAAGGCCCCATCGTTTAATGGTTGAGCGACCCAACTTAATGAGTAGTGGACCAAAACAGTCCATCCCTGTAGACCAGAATGGAGGCTTAGTTACACGAATTCTATAAAGTGGCAGGTCCACCATCTTAGGAATGATGGGTTTACCTCTCCACTTCCTGCATTCCACACAAGTCCTTTGGTGCTGCTTAATGGCTTGCCAGTCACGAAGAATCCAGTAGGAACGTCTGATCTCTGCAA